TAATAATAATAATAATAATAATAATAATAATAATAAAAGTAATGAAAGTACTTACAGTGAAGTAATAATAATAGTAATAGTAATGTAAAAATAATAATGAAGGTACTTAAAGGAATCCAGCGAATAAAATTATGATTTCCAAAGCATCATCACAGCAAAAGTTTTTACAAGTAAACGACAACAAGATTTAATTTTAATGAAGTCAAATAAAATTTAAAGAACCTGTCATTTAATACTAATTAATACTGTTTTGATTACTTCAATTCTTGGAAGAACTTTAAAGTTTCGTTTGATGGAAAGGTAGGAAATATAATAGTTGATTTGATAAACGAATTAGATATTTCATATATGATATATGTGTGATTGTTTCTGTTTCAACACTGAAAACCACTGATAAAAAGAGATTTATACATTTATGAAAATTAAAAAAAAGAGAAGGTAAAATAAGTTTTGTTTTTGGATAAAGCATTGCAGTGTGGAAATTTATTATGCGCAGGAATATCTGATGAATACTGCTAACAAAGGCGCAGTGAGTAGCATAATTTAATAAACAAAATCGATAATGAAAAACAATTATAATAATGGACATTTTCGTGTATTTTTTTTTTTGCGTTAGTTATGTGTCAATGGCAGAATGTTTGCAGGTAGTAATAAACCGCCCAATGGATTGTGTGAAATTTGTTCCAAAAGGTTTCGGCAAATATTTAATAATAATGTGATCATTGAATCGTTATAGTTTCATTGGAGATTTTTAATTTGCAAATTCATTTGCAATTTCAATTTTCGCTTCGTTTGTTAGTCCTATCATTTTGACCAGTCATCAAAATGCAGTAATCTTACGAAATACAATATCCAAATTAAACACGGGCAATTTCAATCGTAAAGTAAGCAAAACTAATCCTGAATGAATGACTGTTAACATATTTATAATTCAAAAAAATTCTATTGGAAACCCGAATTCTGGAATTGTAAAGCGCTGTAAATTGCAATACCTCAGTATGGGTGGGTACATCAAGGGAAATCAGCCGAGTATTAATATAACAAGCTGAGCAACTAAAGTACTGATACAATCATCATGGCTAGGCTTCACGAACAAAGATTTGGTTAACCCTCTATTACGTTTTCTGCAAACGCTACAAATGTGGGTGTATCCTTCCAGCTTGCGCAATGAATTTTTCAGGAACTACCCCTTACTCCCAAGGTTAAATTTCCAGGTCTAGTGAACTAGGGCGGTGACAGTGAAGTCCTCAGAACGTAGTTTTTGTTATAGAATCCTTCTATTAGATGGATTACTTTACAAGATTAAACGAGCTTCATCTGCTTGGGTTGGGACTTGTCCCTCTCCTAGGATAGTCGCTAGGAGGCCAGCGAGTCCATCCTATCGGTGGACACATTTTGTCTGATCTTTCATCTGAGACCTAACTGGCACAAGAAATCTTACCAGAGGCAATGCAACCACTCCAAGGACATCGAACCTTCTCCCCCTCCACAAGAGCATGAATATAAAGGAGAATGATGGAATCTTAGGATAAGTATTATAATTTTGCAGAAGTGAAGGATGCTATCTGATAAGGTGCAATCAATTTAAGCATCCAATCAGAAAGACCATCTGATAAGGCGACAAAATCAGATTTCAGCTTTACTCAATAGACAAAGAGCAGTCATTCAACCATGTAAGAAAAAAATTTGACAATGACTCCAAATTTTATAAATAATTAAAATAAAAGATGCTAATTTTAATTGGAGAGTTTAAGAAAGAAGGAATTAATCTACTTCAATGGAAACATCGAACGTAAAATAAAGATGGTACATAACTGATTTGTTGATTTCACAGGCGTTATCTTTCGACAGTGCGAAGAAATGCGAAGATAAATTACGCCTGAGGTGAAAGGAAAATTGTTATGTAGCAAGGTATAAATAAAATAATTAATGAAGTGTCAAATGCAAATTGAATATTGAATAAACATCATTGCATATTGAATATTAACTGTTGGTAATCAATGAAGTAGTAATTATGAAATGCTAGAAGTACTAATGTCTTAGAAGCATTGAAGAAACTGATAATGATAGGCTATTCCTTTTTGTTATAACTCAATTCATGAGGTTGTATCGCAAATGAAATGAAAATACTTCTTATCAATTCTAAAAAAAGATAGATACGAAAAATATTTTGGTTATTTTATGCAAACTTATATCAGCAAACTATACTTTTGGCTAACTTTTGATTGGTTTAAATTTTATGAATGTTTACACAGTGAGCAACAAATGATTGTACGAATTAGTATTTACTTAGCAAATACTACGAAATAAATGAGAAAGAGAATGTGGGAATTGTTAGAAAAGTATGAAATTTTCAATTGCCAGTCAATGATTTAGAATTAAACATAGTGATCAATGATAAAATACAATGTTAACGAAGAAGAATGAAGTTCAAATAAGATACTATCCATGATTTGATTTCATAAAATTAAATTCGAAACTAAAAGAATTTGGTCGCTTATTTTACTTCGAAAAACAAATTCGTTTTTATTTTCTTTTTCAGAAAAATAATTTTTATTGAGTTTATCAATGAATTTGTTTTGTAAACATTGTTCATATCAATGATTCAATGAGCTTGGGGACTTTTTTTTAGAATCAAATTGACCATTGAGTGTATGTAAATATAGTTGGTAGGAGTCAAATAAACGTTTTTTCAAATAATACTGACAATAATCTTAACCAATAATAATAATTATTTGTCTTAGCTATTATGGCTGTGAGACTGATAAAGATTTAGGCCTCCGTAAAAGATGATCTTTTTTTTTGGAGGGGAGAGGAAAAATACATCCTTCCATTCATTTTGATAGTATCAAAGACTGCAATGAAGATTAATTGAATTTCATTAACTAAATTAATTATATATAAAAACTGCTAGATGATATGCCATTTTGATGGCCACTATCAAATAAACTGAATCACTTCTAAAAATTTTTTCTTTTTAATTATGATGAGAAATTCAACCAACAAAAATAAGATCAGAGAATTAATGAACTGTGATTTGATATCAGTGAATAATATTGAGAAGAAAACTATGGGGACTAAGAAGAAAAAGCGAACGTTTTCAGTAAGCCTTCAAAATATCATTTTGTATAAAGCAGGAAAGAATCTCTGAAAAAAAAAGAAGCTTTTGAAGAATACGATGGTTTTTTTTTTTTTCAGTGGCTTAATATAATTAGCTTATGCGAATGTAAGGATTTTTCATTGGTCCATTAAAATTAATACATTGCATTAAAAATTTATCGAAGTACAGAATTTATGTCACCATTAGCTTGGTGACAAATTCAGTAATAATATACAGCATTCTCATACAACCACACAGAAGGACAATCTGCAGATTTTAATGAAATTTGAGAACTTTTCAAGTTAACATTTTTATTATGATTTTGATTCCACTTACTACTCATTATAAACTTCTTCTCTAATTGTCTGACCTGCCATCGCTTTGATCTCTTCCCTTCAGAAAATATAAATAAGTCAGCAATTGAAATTTTGAATTAATCCTTGATCAGTTCAGGAGAATTTGCAAATAAAACTGGCCAATGTAGCTGTACTTTTGAGAATATCGTTCAATGATCGCCTTCAAATAAACGAATTAGCTAGTTTGGTGCCAATGTAGGATGAAAATCCCGAAGAACAGAATATTTGGAGTTTTGTTGGAATGAGGCAAATGAGTGGTTCGTGCCAAATGCATATGGTATACTTTTTTGCTTTCCAAAGATTATTTTTGCAACAGTGTTAGCATCATTGGTGCCAGTTGAGATTTAATGGGCCAGCACCCAACTGGGTCAGAGTTTCCGGGTAACATGAAGAAATGTTACTGTTGCCGACTTCGCCATTCTTTGATAAAAATAAAAAACCATATAGTAAAATGGCAAGGTTATTAAAGTTAAAGTTTAGTTGATCAAAGACCGGAGTACGACGAATATAGGGACTAAGACTACTAGAATATGTAATTTTATTTGGAATAAAACACCTGTTCCTAGTTTTCAAATGGTAATATTATCATTGCAAGAATGATAGCATAAAAAAGATATGCATGTAATAGAATGATAGATTGCAACTTTTGAAAAATGAGCCAAAAACTGGAAGGAAACAGCAAGAGAGGACGATATTTGAAAAATTAAAAAATAACTTGTGAAGGACAAGTGGTTAATTGAGCGGTTGAAATGCAGTGGAGGCGGTTTTGGTATTGCAATGGGCTTAACATTGGTGGTGTCTCCGAGAGCAATGTATTTAGCGTTTTCTTTTATAAATCATCCATCGATGCACCCTAAAACAAGTTCTTCCTCGTGGACGCTTTCCGATACAGTACTTACAGAGTTATGAGACACTTTTTGGTAGATAGGCTAAATTGAGCTCTGAAATTTAGGAACAAAATTTGATCTTGATCTTATCAAACCTTAATATTGAAGTTCTTTCTCACCTCTTGCTTCTCTTTCTTATCATATTAAAAACCACTCATTATCTAACATCACAGTGGAAGACGGTTTCAGAATTTTTTGATTGCAAAGATCAAATTCTGAAGTCCACAAACACTCACTCTTTCAGCTATTTTAAGTGTGGAAGTCATTTTGTTAGTGAGACTGATTCTTAATCATTTGAGACAATTTTTATTTAGAAGTGATTTATAAATTGAATGGCATGCTAAATTAAACTTTCAACATGCTAATCGAGAAAGTTCTGCCCTTTGGTAGATGCTTATAAGCAGACCAATCCTGTTCGGAAATGTTAACTTTGGGAGTTATCAGAGTGAACGGTTATGTGAAGCTGGTATAAACGAGGAGAACTTTATACAAAAAGGTACTGTCACTGGTACTGTCCTTTTCTTTGTTCTCGAGAACTTCTCGAGAACTTTCTTTGTTCTCGAGGATCATACCACTTCGAAGTGATCTTGATCTTGTCCCAGTCCCAGTCAACGTTACATAACGCTCTTAAATTCCTTTTTCGATGAAAAGCATGACAGAAGAGAATAAATTCAAATTCTTTCGCACTTTGTTATTTTATGGGTATTTGAAAACGCAATATGCATGATTCACCGCCCATTCTTCGTTTCTGTTTTTGAATTTCAAATCTAATCTACCAGCTTGAGTAGAATTAAGCTTAGATTCGATCTTGAAAAATTACGCCATACCGATAGTCTTTGTCTTCTGAAGTAAAAATTACTCATTATGTTCCTTTTGAAGGTTACGTTTCAGTGGCACTTTTGAATATTTGGTGGGAAAAGATGTAGTCTTAGAAAGATAATGAGCCTTATTTTACGTGTCTACAAGTGATCGTACGTCACGTAATTATAGCACTGGAAAGCCCGCCTATTCGGTATAAAAATTAAAGAACAAAAGTAAGTGTTAAATAATTTTAAGGTAGGGGAGAGTTCATTTTAAAACGAAAATGTAAAGTAATTAAAATAAATGAAAAAAGTCAGCGATATAAGTAAGGAAGAGATTGAGAGGGCGACAATGGGTATGAGTTAAAGTTGAAGTTAACGAAAGTTTTCAAGGGTATATTGATGAAAAAAATCTCCAACTGACTATTTGTGTGTTATGTCGCCTTAGTATCATCCTAAGCTAACTGACATCCAGATAGCAAGCACGAACATACATACATACGTACGTATGTACATACATACATACATACGTTCATACATACATACACACATACATACATATATACATACACACACACACACACACACACACACACACACACAGACACACATATAACCTGTCAGTGTGAATTTGAATTTATGTTAACACCGACACAATTAACAAAACTACTATTGAATATTAACGGATTTTATTCTCACTACTTGCTCACTTTGCCCACCTTTGTCTATTGATCAGGTAAATCCGAAAAAGAGTTGGGAAATCTGATGTGATCGATGATAAAAAGAAGAAACGAAGATAGGTCCTGTTTTTCGTATTCTCTATTTATGAACAGGATCTTATGCTTATATCTTGCCTGCTCATCATATCAATAATTCATTTATAATTATTCATCCGAACTTACGCCACTTCATCTCCCCTTTTTCTCTTGTTTGAAAGAACTTTTGGTCTGTATCAAATTTCAAACTTCTCTTGCAGTTGATCATTTCAACTGTCCTACCTATGTTGCATAAACATTTCCTAACTAAGAAAGATACAATGGATAAATAGATAAGTTAAATAAGTTTGAATTAAGAAAAGATTTAAATGAGATGCAGCTTGTTGTCCGAAAAAAAAAAAGCTACAGCTGTTTCTGTTCCATTAACTTCATATTTGCTTATTAAATACAAAAAGTATTACAACATATATGATTTGATGGAGTGGAATATTTGTTCAGATCCTTTCTAAATTTTACAATTTTTGTTATTCTATTAGACAAGAATATTTTTTTGCCCACTTCTTAACAAGTATTGCCACAAAGATTAGTGTATCTTTCAATGAAGTAGTTACACTTGTCATCTCGACAATTGCGCCGTCTTTTGAATGAAAGGATGAAGAAGAAGTAGCTTTAAAAATAAACAGCGTTAAATTCAATTCGTGTAACTAAAAAGAGAAAGTGTTAGGAAAAAAGAGAATTTTTGAAACTTAAAAATTTCACACCGACTCACCAGATCTGGAAGTTTAATTATCGTAACAAGGAGAAAGGAAAGCGAGCAGCTGCTTTATTTGTTTTTTTTTCTTTCTCTCTCTCCCTCCTAAACTCAATTTTATAATGAGCCTTAGGCATGTAACTGTCAAATAAGGTTTCTAACCCTCCAATTTCCACTCTTCTAGGAGGCAAACAGGCTACAAGATGAATAAACAAGAAAGAGAATAACTTCCAGTGCAGCAAACCAATTATTAACTTTCTGATGAAAGAATAAAAAACCTGACTCTTATTTGGGCCTGTCATTTGAAAAATATTCGACAAAGCCAGAATAATGATATTATAGGTTAAATGAAAAAGAACGAATTTTTCTTCTCGTTTGATCAGTTTCACTTCTTTTCAAATGAAGTACTAAAGTTTCAGAATTTGAGATATTTTAAGAATGTATGAGTCTTTTCATCAGAGAAAATGGCAAGAAACCATGTCCATTATTTGATTCATAAATTATATAAAGTTTATTTTCAAAATCTTTCATATAATTCATCCGAGAAATGAATTTAAGAAAAGTGAGGAATTATGGATACATCAATAAAACGTTTACCTTGCAATAATTTAATTCTAATTTTCAGCAATAATTAGCAAGACCTTCATGATATTTCTTTTAAGGCAAACATACAGAATAGATTAGAATTTAAGGAGCTTTTGCAATTTCAAATTTTTGCGATTAAGAACAAGAGTTGAAAACTCGTCACATTGGTAATTAGTGAGAAATTAAACGAGTAGAGAAAGTGAGTTAAAAAAAAAACAACGATTTCAAAGAAATCAGGAATCAAAGAGCAAGGATCAGATTTACGGTAATAATTGAATTATCGAATAGAAGGTCACCAAGGTTATTTTAATTTCTCTTGAAAAAATCGACGTGTCCTTGATGGCACCGTTCTGATTGGTTTTTTACCAATCAACAGTGACATGGGAGAAAGAATTATTTCCAAATTTGTTCAGTAACACCAACTTATTTTAAACTGATAACTTTTAAACAGCAAATTTTTTGAACTATTATTTCGGAATTAAATTCATTACATTGCTTCATTGCGAATTGAGGTAGGAATATAATAATAGCTCAGTAATTGTGTTTCTTTCTTCAATAAAAAAACAAGAAACACTAAAATTTAACAAAGTATTTAATTTCACTTACAACACTAATTAAACTTTAGTTAAGTTAAACTGAGGCGAATAGCTTAAAAGTCGGTTTCAAGAACTTTTGTCAAAATAAATAACTTGTTCTATCATCAGGACATGAAGGGCAATAAAATGGCCCGTTTTGCTCTGATGAGCAAACAATTTGGTGGAAAACTTTTGCCGAAAATATGAAATTTCAAAAAAAAACCGGAAAGTGGTTTATGGAAGTGAAGTGAAGCGATTAATATGTATCTCATGAGTTATATTTTTCTTCATTTATTTACCAATCTTCAAAGATTCTTTCAACTGAACAAGGATTTTCACTGATAATTTCTTTATCTTTAATTTTAATTCCATCATTTCTCAGAGTCCCCACATGATAAGCCCCAACGAAAGGAGAAATTAATGTCTTGTGATATCTGGTTGTAATTAGCAAAGTTACCAGAACACACGAATCATGACAGAAATGGAAGGCGTTGTAAAGAAATTGATATTAATACTTATCTGAGTTTATAAATTTATAAAGTTATAAATTTTCGAAATATATGACTTATTGTGTTCTCGAATTTTCATTTCTTATTTCTCTACTAATACAGATACCGAGAAACTTCTGCAGTATCCCAACTGGAATATGTATCACAATGTCCTGAATAATATCCAATCTTGTGATAGAATCATTATCTGCTCATAGCAATCAATTCGTTCAAATTGGGTACTCTGAACATTGAACACGTTCATCCACGATGTGAGATAAATATGGATGGATGTATGTGGATAGAATTGAAATGCTGTGACATAATGAAATAATTATCGAAAAATAGTGAGAATAAAATTGACTTTCAATTTATTATATTTCGATAACTGTCACAGTATCGAGAAAGTACCAAACACGATTGGCATAAATTGAAATTAGACAATGAAAGAGCTGTATATCTGAATAAATGGCCTTGTATAGATGTAGATCCACTAATCTGTGTCACATTAATTGGTAATCATTGTCTGCTGATGCTATACAATATTTTCAGACTTCCAAAAATACATTCATTTAATTTGTTCATTTTACTCCACTCTTTCCATCATGTCATCTGCACATAATAATGGTGTCATTTATTACAGGCCAGTTCGTTTTTATCTATTTTTCTATGTGTAACTTTGGGTGAGTAAATTTTTGTTAACTTGTTAGTGCAGCAGGAAATTAGCTCATAGAAATTTTTTTTTTCGTTGCAAAAGATTGTTTTAATTTTTATTTTTGAAGGAAATTTTGAGGTAAAAAGGACTGGCATTTGTTTTTGGTTTCAAAAGGAAAAACAGAAAGGAAGGAATTTTCAAACGTTTTTTCTTTCCTTTCTTTAATTTAATATTATTTGCATGCTTCCCATATGAAAAAAACAAAGTAAGAAGTTGTAACTTTCACAGAATTTAACCAAACAGCTTATCATACAATGATGCTTGGCTGTATTTAAACATTTACTGCAAGTCATTGCAGGAATTGGCCTAATACTTTTGATCAGAGTAGAAAAAAGGGCCGTTGTAAATTTGGAAGATTAGATATTAAAGAAAGAAATCTCAAGGATAGAGAATATTGCTTAGCCTATTCTATCTTAGAATGGGAAAAAATTATCGGAAAAACACAAGCAAGTTATCGTATATTACTTTTTCTAGGCATATGTGACATTATAGAAGTACTTTTAAGCAAACAATTTGCGGGTTGACAAGTATTGAGGGAATTTTTTTTTCAAAGAAAAGAAAAAAATTCAGAATAACGAAATATTTGACAGGGAATTTTATTGAAAAAGAATTTTTACTCTGCAATTTCCCTACTTTAATGATTTCTAAGGTCATGCAATTTAACTCAGTTATATTTCGATCCTATCACTTTTATTTTCCACAATCTAGTAAATCCATCACTTTGTGGTCATTAAGTTAGGAAAATTTTATTAAACGTAATATAGTAGTCCTTTTGGATTTTTCAATAAATTAAATAAAAATTATAAATGGGGCAAATCTTTGTATATCCACATTTATTCATGCTATTTGCGTTACTTAAAGTGAATGACGAACTGAATAAATGAAATGATAAATCAGTCTTGAAAACAAAGTAAGAAAGTTGACACTTAGTATGTGATATAGTAAGCACTTCAATATCGTGAACATTTCCTAGTTGAGAGCCAGAGATTGAAAAATTGATACGGGATACTTTCCCAAAACAAATGAGTGCGGTCTTGTTGTGATGATACAACGACTTGGTTGATCCGACAACATTTTTTCTTCTGCATTTCAAATGACTGCTGGAACTCTTTTCTTCAAGCATTTTCACAGTCTTCTCGAAGTATAGTTAAATAATTATGATGGAAAGAACTTGGAAGTTAAATCATTAATTAGAAGATAATTACGAATGTGCTGGCAAAACATACGACGAAGTATTCGTGCCATTTTCATTTATCAAATTTATAACGACAGACTCTTTTATCCTTCCTTTTTTTGGATCTCATCCGTGCAAGCAATAATTACTACATTGATGCCATGTATCCTTCACTCATGCACAGAACATTAAAGAAGAAACAAACAGTTCGAAGAGTTATTAAAAATAGAGTGAATTGATGAGAGGAAAGCACTTTCTTATCATTTTTTCACAATCAGTGATTTTCTTATCATTTTTACAATCAATTCAAGCTGGGATAAGAAAGGAAGCGGAAAAACCGGTAAAGGAAAAAGTAAGCGGAAGAACCATGTGAAAGAAAAGAAACTTGAATATATGAAATATCATAGCATGGTCTTGTAGAAAATTTTAATATTAATGTAACGAATGAATTAAATATTTCTCAGTAAATGGATCAGAGTTGTCTCAGTAAAATAATGAAAATTATTATCACTATTATTGTGACTTTTTTTTATTATTTACCATCACTTTATTGTCACTATTATTGAATCATTATCACCATTGTTGAATTATTATCACTATTATCGATTATTATTACTATTCCTGAAAGTTATTATCACTATTATTGTGAAAAATTATTGTGATTAAAATTATAAAAGTCATTATCAGTTGCAAATAAGCTTTGTGCGACGATACAATTTCAT